AAGACCACATGCAAAACTTCAGCTAATTTGGAGCAAGAAAAAAGAAAAGCAACCAAAATCATCACTTATCCCCTTTTATGACTAGCTTCTTCAGATGTAGTCAGAAGATATGTTTGTTGATGAAAATTACATGTGTTTGTGCACCTTAAATTTGACACTGAAAGTCACACGAGGCTCTTCAGTTGGTTATTGTTAATGAGTAACACCAACAATACTCACTACAATATTCAGAAGCATTTTCTGCTCTTTAAGACCTTTATAAGTTGTTGTTCAGCGGGGATATGCATCATAAGTGACCAGAACGATCATCTTTTATCCAAAATAGTTGTTTTGTGAAGTGGCCTTTGATAGTAATTTACATTTTCCTCCATTTGCCGCAATACTCAGCATACTCGTATTAAATAAACAATGAGCTCAATACTTTATTTTTGGTTTCAAGGTGGGCAGTGTTTAAAAGTGACAAAACTAAGAATCAGGCTGTTCTTATGTAGATCACTATGTTCAATAAACATGTTTTAATTATTAGTGTCCAAAATTCTATAGTAAAAGCAAGGTTTCTCCGTATGTATGCAAAGTTTTCTTCTGAGCAATGTCGCTTTTCCAGCCAGGTACTCTTCATGGTACTTAAAGCTCAGAGTGGAGATAATTGCTTTTTAACACTTATGAACCATAACAAGCCTAAATCATATTATTCCAGCCAACAGCAACTATATTTTGCAAAAGAAAAATGATTATTTTCTAACCATTTGTGTACAGACCTTGTATTTTTAGCACTGAACTAGCTATCACCAAAACTGAGGAGAGTTAAGTGAATTTTATAATTATCAACAAGTGTCAAAAACCAAACGTTATTTGGTTTGGAAAGAAATAAAAGTAAGCTCAATTAATATCTATAGCACCTATTTCCTTAAGTGCCTGTAAAGGCTTGATAGGAAAGAGATATTGCTAAATAATGTAGTGGGACACTTGACCAAATGACAACTGGTGACGCATTATTTTGAAGTGGGAAGTCATTATTTAATTTGCTGAGCCCTCCTCCCTTTGGATGAATAAACATCAACATTGTGTTGGGGGTGAGGAGGAGGAGGAGGACAGAAAGACCATATGTTGGCAAAAGTGCAAAGTGTCCCAGGACTTTTGACCAGTATTGTAGTTTTCAACTAAACTAGCAAAGGAATTAAAAATTCAATTGTTTTGTGTGTTAATTACTATGGAAATTAGAACATGTGCAGGCAAATCCTGCCTAATTTACCTTCGATATTACGAACGATATTCACTAGTTCAGATGTCATTAAAGTAGTTTCTTTATGAATGTGCATTGCTGGCACATAGTATACAAACATGGCAGGTCGTCATTCATCACAAACAATTTTCTGACAAGAAATCAATCACCTTTAAAGCCTCTGGAGTGCAATGTACAATCCAAATTTTATAGCTTTTCTTCTGTAAGTGAACATGAACACATGCGTGATTGGTCGATGCTTGTCTTGTATTGTGCTTCCTGTGGTAGTCAGCAGTGTGGTCAGTTCGTTTGTACTTTCACACACTTGTCTGTCCCCTCCAGACCCCCCCACCCCCAATGCCTTCAAAATTCCAATTGTAAGTACCTAAGTCCAATGCCTAAGTTGGACTTCCAGCTCAAAGAATCCTCCCTTGCCTTTGGAATTCCAAAAAACCACCTGTGGTATAGGTATGGATATTTTCTGGAATCACCCAAATAGCTTCGCGCACTAATGACGTCACAAAAATTTAACCCCTGGTGTGACTCAGCCAAACAATTTATTCCATGGGCTACTTCTGATCGATCGAAGGGCAGCAAAACCTGATGGTGATGACCACTGACCAGTTACTGTGACGTCAAAAACATATTTCCACAGTGTCTGGCACTTTAACTATAAACCCCTGTAGATGCTGAATTATGTGCACCAACTTTTCAAAATCAGGGAAATTTTCCACACGCTTTATCTCTGAAACAAAGACGGTGACCCCCAATTTTTTTTTTACATTTCTGACACAAGTAACCCATTATCTGATTACAGTAAAACAAATTTAAAAATTGGGGAATATTCTCAGATATTCCCCAGTTTTAGCTGGGGAATATTTGGTCACTGACATGTTTAGACCAATCGTGTGGGAGCGAAAATATTTGATGGATTATAAGAACCTATATTTCTTTGCCAGGCTGAACAGGTTCTTATATTTTTGGTTATTTAAATGCCTAACTTCAGCCTGTAGGTTCTTAAATCACTGGGATTTTATGTGCGGGTTTTTGTTGTATTCATGAGTAAGTAGTGCATGTACACACATCAAATGCGAAAATCACATGTAAAACTGCCATATTCACATGCAAAAATCACATGTAAAACTGCCATATTGCATGCATTTTATACATGTCATATAAGAACTGCAATCCTTGTAGCCTGTGCTGTGGTGTAAAAACAAATAACCAAACACTGTCATCTTACCACTTGTCTTTGCTTGTGTATCTAGTTCAGCAGCAAATTCATCATTTGCTGGCTCGCCAAGTATGTCTTTTAAAACATTGAGCTCCACTCCATCACAGCCTGAAAGTAAACAAGAGGATCTTTTAGTTCTTACAACCGCGCTTAAAAAATTTAACTGTTTTGTTAAAACTAGAGTCATAACGCTGTGCACATTCCAAAGCAGTTCTTGATGATTCATTGATTACTGTAAACACATCACTTGATCAACACAAACTGTGTTATTGCACCATCACTCATAGCCTATGTGAAATCTATGATGACGTAATGGTCTTCATCTGGAAGTTCGCTCGGGATATGCCCTTGAATGATACAAAAGGAAACAAATGTCATGCTATTAATAACGCTTTTAATACACAGCTTTCTTCCTGAAAAGCCAAAATTTAATTTGTTTGTGCTTTGAAGTAGTCATGCGAGTCACAATGCAAGGGTTTACACTATTCATGGCTAATTTTAGAACGGTTGTGTTTTTTCCCCTAGCACTGACTTAAACGCTCCAAGTTCTGGCAAGCTCTTGTTTACCTCAGCACATATTTAATTTTTCTTCAAATCTCTTAACTCGCTGCGACGAAACAGCCAAAGAATTCACTTCATTTGCCGAGACCCACAAGAAATACTCACAAAATTGCAAATAAATTAATGACCGTCGCTTCTGGAGAAATAAACTTGCAAAGTAAACATGATCTTATTTGTCACATAGCAAAAATAAAAGCTGCAACATCAGCGCATTCCATGGCTGATGTAATACCTTTTTTAGCGTATTTATTATTCCCTTCCAATCCAATGCTTCAATAAAACGAAAAGAAAATATATTTTACCCACCATAAAGAAAACAATATCCGTAACACTGTCCATGTATTAATGTTTCAACAGCTTTCAGCGAATAAACATAACAGGTTGCGTGATTCAAAATTTGGCCAAGAGGAAGTTTGGGTCTGGTCAACGACAAAACAAAAAGAAAAAAGAAGAAAAAATAAAATAAAATAAAATAAACAATGTGTGAAAACATGGCAGATTTTCCTTGATATTGAGTTCTATCAGTTGAAAAATGGCTATAGCTCACCAACAAGCTCGGGCACCCCAACTTTCATTCCAGTCATTTTAATCAACTGATCTGATTTCTATTGTTCAAAACTGAATAAATAAGAAAAATAGCGGCTGCACTGTAGTCTTTTCTATTTTGCACTTTGATAGCCATGGCAAGCAATTTGGTTCCAATATTTTAACAAGGATTCAGCTGTCTGTCAAAATCAAACTTAAAAATTTTATTTGTGTCCAACACAAGTATTGACTGTAGTTTGAGGAGTGTTTTCATGAGTCTGGGCTCACAAAGAGTTTACAATAACTTGGAATGCGTTCTTGTAATAAGCATTAAATAACGCTAAAATGGGACATTTTCAATGCCTCACTGCTCCTTAACGAGCATGGGTACTCCCCTTTTTTTTTTATTTCATAATTAAAGTTCTCATATGATAGATATTCATTGGACAACGTTTAAACAAAAATCTATGTGCAGTTTTAATTCAGGGGAATTACATGAACCTTAACTCATTACACTTGAGACTGCTAAGGAAAGGAATTAGAATGATCTCCCTGATACTCTCCAACTAAAAGTACAATGGGTGTCTCAGAAGTACAAAACACACTGCTTTCCTTGGCGAGTCTAACAGAACAAAATCCCACTCTACGGGCACCAGATTTATATGGAAACCTGCTTATTATCATATGGCCACTTGTTTGTCCCAATGAAAAACTCAGATACATGTATTTTTCCACATCAGCTTGCTAATATGGGTACCAGTTAACACAGACAACAAACCCTTTGCCGAGGGCCTGAAAGGGTATTCCTGTGATCTGGGATTTGACCAAAATATGATGTGGGAATTAGGAAAACGCTAAATATCTTGATGGCATTCCAGATTTGGCTGCTCCCTGGGAAATGAGATTTGCCAAAATTTGAGCATGGGAAGTAGGATTTTTTTGCCTGTCTGTCGGGAATTCAGGAAATTGTCAAGACCCAAATATATGTTCCAGCAGCTAAATCGAATCAACCAGGTGAGCCCCAAGTGGTATCTCCTTTGAAGCCAAACTAAAGATGAGCAGACAGCAGCTCTAGAGTATTTTGTTTCAACTGGATGCCAGATGCCACTTCAAGCACCTGACTTGTACTCTGCTGGAATAGATGCCTGGGACTTTGCAACAACAAGCAAGAGCCTCTGAAACGAACAGCAAAGTGGTCAGCCTACCACTTCACTCATGCCAACTCATACTATCTGGTGCCCCAGAAGGATATCCCAAAGATAGTGTCTTCCAGTGTTGGAAACTAAATTTTGACAGCAATCGCCATTCAGGATAGAGACTCACCCAGTGTTATTTTCACTCCCTCAAAAAGATGCCTCCCCTTCCAAAATAATATAGTCTGCAATGAGCAATTCACAAACCATACGTTTTTTTGGTATCTCGTAATAACAGACGCCCAGCTTGCTATTTTGTGTTGAGCTTTCTTGGTATGGTCCATCTAAGAGACATCTTCAGAGGATCGTGGCAGGACTGATTTCATTGTTTCATCCTTGTTATTATCATTAGCTTTTGACACTCCTTGGAAATGTTTCCTTATTTCCCAAGGTTTAACTGACAAACAGCTAAACAAACCCCTGGCAAAACTGAATTCGCATATATTCCTAGAATCAAGACATTGGAGTAAACAACTTATTGGAAGGTGGAAGATTGATGTTTTTTTTTTCTTCAATGAAAAATTTACTAGAGTACCTTAAACCCAAAGATAACTAAGAAGAAGGCATGCTAATTAAATTCATTCCTTCGCAAGCAAACATCATTGTTCCTCTTGTGTGCCATCTTCAATTCTCATGCACTAATTACTGGCAGCTTAACTAAAGACCAGTAGTGTCACTTCATACACATGTAACAGCTATGTAAATTATCACTACGAGGTCAAGCTGTATCTCATTTTAAAAGGCTTGGTCGAAAAAGTGCATTAGCTATTTTTCATCAAAAGTGAACTTTGTCAAAAATGCTACAAATTTTGCATGGGGTTACGTTCAGGTGTGTAATAAACAATGTCCTGTATTTGTGACCGTGAAAGGCAAAACAGACACTAATGGTTATCCATTCCAAGAGGTTAACTGTTCGTTGTCCATTCGTTATCTGTTTGAACGCCTAAAAAAATCCGTTCAAAGCATTCGACAAGCCGTTTGAACGGTTTTGGCGTCCATTCGAAGCTATTCATAACAATAGAACTTTTCAATTTGATCAAGTATCCTTTATCATTCTGAAGAATTGCTCCTTCAAAGAGGTACAATTTGACAGATAACATCTAAAGTGAGCTTGTTGCTTTTTGGCAAATGTGCTACTTTTTACCAGTAGTAATTGTGCATAATTAAGGGTATAAAAACTACAACTCTGAAAGTTACCCACCCTGGAATCAAATCATCCTATTTACAGTAAGGTAATTCCCTAGTATTGCATTGCGCATCCCTACTGCGCACGAATTTTGCGTCATTAGCGCACCACATGAGCATGTGCGCGTACAAAATGCAAGAGATTTCCCTCAAACTTAGCTCGATAGCGAAATAAATGCTCCTTTTCTCTAAACGAGCGCAGTGACCACCGATTTTTTTTCAGGTATTTGCTAAGTAAGAATAGTCAAATAAAGAACATATTTAAAGAAGAAAAAAAGTTTGATAGTAGAACATCATATTTTTTTTTTTGGAAAATAGTTCCCTACTGGGTGTATTTTGGCCAAGGCGAGGACTTCAAGCTAACCACAGAACCGTCCAAAAAAGTGCAATATTCCCACCACGAGGCAATCAAAAACGGTTTAAATGAAGCAATACAGCTTATGTGAGTAAAAGAAGCTTTACTTTCAAGATAAAATTGTGTCTTTCAAGTAACCAAGACTTAATTCTGTATGAAGGTGACGTTGCGGATGGCACAACAAGACATCATTTGCAAAGCAACTCAACTCGTTTTAATGCCTACTTCATGTAAGACACATGCTATTAGAAAACACGTTTCTCCAAATGTGGTAAGACAAGCCATATACATAACATCTCCCTTTCTTTAAAAAAAGAAAAAACTAAAAACACACTTGCCGAAAACTGATTTCTGTACGAAAAATTAGTGTTCAGTGTCTAGACTAACTCGGTCTCACCAAAAAAATGCTAAATCAACTTAAAGTGTTCAAAGTCTAGCCTTTGCTTAACGACTCAAATCAAAATCTTCAAATCTTGACGGTGGACGAATACTGCGGGTTCTCATCTTCTGGGATGCTGACAATGTAGCCTTTGTTTCTTCAGCAACAGATCAATCTGCAGAACCTTGTTCAGGATCAGTAGGTTTAGCAGGTAACTCAGGGACTCTAGGCATCTCCTTGCGATTCTCTCTTGACTCAGGTGTACCAACATTGGTGCTCTGCTTTTCCATTGTTCCGGGTTCAACTGCCGGTCTCAGGAACTGCCTGTTTCTTCTGATGGTCTCATTGCCTGATTGGACTACATAAGACCTATCTGAGAGTTTCTTGACACAGGTCACTTGTTTCCATGTTTGGTTCTTTTGCAAGGGTGCAATTCTGACTTCTTGCCCAATCTCCAGCTCAGGTAACTGCTTCCAATGACAGTCATGGTAAAACTTGGCCTTTCGCCTTTTCCACTCTAATTTCTCTGTGGAATGTGCGCTAACTTCAGGACGGAGAAGACTTGATGCTGTAGGTAAGAGAGTTGGTGTTCGGTGCGACATAAGCCTCTGAGCCGGGCTGGCTCCTATGCCTTCGGTGGGAGTGTTCCTGTAGTCTAATAGAGCTAGCCAAGGATCTTTTCCATCATGTTCAGCCTTCTTGAACAGTAGTTTGACTGCCTTCACTGAAGACTCCACTTTACCATTCGACTTTGGGTAGTGTGGAGAGGATGTGACATGGTTAAATTCCCAGCTGAGTGAAAACTCATGAAATTCCTGGCTGCTGTACTGTAAACCGTTATCCGAGACAACTGTGTCCGGGATCCCACATCTACTGAATTGCTCTTTAAGCGCTTGAATAACTGCACGTG